TTCATGCATCATTTATTGAGAGGATCAATTGTTGAGTTGGAAGACTGATTAAGAATGGGGCAGCTAACAGGGAGGCAACCCTGTGTATGTACTCTGGAGTCCAATAAACTGAGCTAAACTTTCTGCCTTCCACTTATGCGCTCCTGGAGAAAGGGAGAGTTATTTAACTTGCTTGTTCCTCAGTTTCTGCATCTGAGATGAAGACAATAACAGTACCTACATTGTGGGGTTATTATGAGGTTTAAGTGAAGGATAAATCCTTATAAAATAATACTTTGAGTACTCAATGAATGTAAGCTGTGGTTGTTATTACTGTTGGTATTTTTCCTGAAATTAATCAACTTAAACCATGTTTAGGAACGATGTAGATTAAGCAAAATGTAGGGATGGGTATATGTGGTTCACATCTATAATACTAGCTACTCAGGAGACTGATAGCTGAGGATGGAGGTTTGAAGTCATCCCAGCAGACAAATCCAAGAGACTCATCTCGAAGAGCCAGCAAAAAGCTGGAAGTGGAGAAGTGGCTCAAGTGGTAGAATATCAACTTGTGGGAAAAAGTTAAGGAAGGGTGTACCAGCACACACAAGTGCATGCACACACACACACACACACACCACAGATGTCTTAACAGAAGGGTGGTCAGTGGGCTGGTGATAGACCATGGGGTGCAAGACTTCAGAGGCAAAGGACTGTGGGGACACTCACACTGGATGGTTCCTGGCTCCCTTGGTAGCCTAATTCATCAGAAAAGCTGCAGATGGATGTCAAGGAAACAGCTAAGCCATTAAAGGAGAGATTTTCTGACCCTGACTCCCCACAAGCGTCTTTGGTCCCCTGAGGGAGAGAAGAACGACAGATCAGTTCCAAGTGGAGCAGTCCACACCAAGTAGAACTCCAGAATCATCTTGCCCTGGTTCCCAGCTGTATTCCATAGCCTTCCTGCTTACTCTGGCAGATGAAAAAGACCCATTTTCTTTCTTCTTCATTATCATGAAGCTCTGTGATCACTAGTGCAATGAGACCCTGGCATGTCCTCTCCCTTCCTCACTATACACTCACAATTCTGTAGGCCCCCATGTCCTCACAGAAGTGGTTGTTATAGCAACTGGAGGGTGGGGTCCCAGAGCTTTAGGTGCAAGGAGGGGTCCTAGGAAGGAGAGAGCACACACATACACACACACACACACATCTCTTTCACTTCAACCAGAGAACATTCCTCTCCATCAGGGAGAAGAAGAGACTATGATTAAATTCTGAAAATGAACAAAAACACCAAACATCAAGACTTGGCAAATGTAGATTCCAGAATCCACTCTAGTATCCACATGTGCTAGGAAGAAATTTTTCAAGAAGCAAAGTAGTCTACCAAGGGCTGGGAAGGTGGCTCAGTGGTAGAATGCTTGCCTTGCATGCATGAGTCCCTGGGTTAAATTCCTCAGCACCACATAAGCAGAAAAAGCCAGAGTGGCACTGTGGCTCAAGTGGTAGAGCACTAGCCTTGAGTTGAAGAGCTGAGAACAGCGCCCAGTCTCAAAGTTCAGGCCCCACGACTGACAAAGCAACCCAAGACAGCCAGGTGTATCAGATTTTCAAGGGATCTAAGGATTTAGAAGGGAACTTCAGGGTACGTTTCAAGAGCCTGACTTTTAGCTGAGCTTCTCAGTCCCCTTTCTTTCTACTCTTTTCCTCTCATTAAAACCAAGGATCTGTCTTCTAGCATTTCTCTCCACATTCTCCAGGAGAAGCTCATTTGATGTTTTTTTTGTTTTTGTTTTGTTTTGGGGGGAGTCCTGTAATGGGGCCTGAACACTGGGCCTGGGCAGCTCTTCAGCTCAAGGCTAACACTCTACCACTTGAGCTACAGCACCACTTCCGGCTTTTTTCTTTTTGCTTATGTGGTAGGGAGGAATCGAACCCAGAGCCTCATGCATGCAAGGCAAACGCTCTACCACTAAGCCACCTTCCCAGCCCCAGAAGCTCATTTGATTTAAACACAGTTATTGAGCAAATGCATTGCTGTAATACATGATCTTGATAGGGTTCTAGATTATTTTGTTTTTTTTTGTGCTGGTCCTGGGATGTGAACTCAAGGCCTGGGTTAGGAGGTATCCCTGAACTTTTGTGCTCAAGGCTAATGCTCTAGCCCTTTGCGCTCCATTTCCAGCCGTTTTTGGTAGTTAATTGGAAATAAGAGTTTTATAGACTTTCCTGCCCAGGATGGCTTCAAACCATGATGCTCAGATCTCATCCTCCTGAGTAGCTAGGATTACAGGTGTGAGCCACTGGTGCTTGGCTAGATTTTTTATTTTTGTATTTTTATTTTTATTTTTTTTGTTGGTTTTGGGGCCTGAACTCTGGGCCTGGGCGCTATCCCTCAGATCTTCAGCTCAAGGCTACCACTTGAGCCACAGTGCCACTTCCGGCTTTTTCTGCTTATGTGGTGCTAAGGAATCGAACCCAGGACCTCATGTATGCAAGGCAAGCACTCTACCACTGAGCCACCTTCCCAGACCTAGGTTTTGTTTTTGAAAGTCACAAAAGGCACTGAATATTTACTGTATATCAGAAAACAATGATATACCCAACTTATATACTGAGAATATATTGTGCTCCTGAAGGAGAATGTCCTTGTTCTTAGGAGATGAACACTTTGTTTTTTTTTTTT